ACGGAAGCACACGTCGCTGAACGAGCCGACTTGGTACTTGTGCGGCTGGCTCCGTACTCTTCAATATGTAACCCCATTCAAGGTACGCAGTATACTGTATTACAATATTTTTTTAAATGGCATACTAACCGACTTTTGAACTAATGCTACAGGGTGTTTTAGTGCTTTTAAGGCCAAGATCAAGGCCGACCTTGCCTTGCCCCGTAAAGGGCTGGTTGTGGAGCATCCTCGCGGGACGGTTGTGGCTGCTCGGATGGAGAAACTGGAGCGCGCGGCGAGACGCCGCATCGGATGTATCGACACGCACCTTGCTAACAGGTTGACACTGCATTGCCAGCATTCCGTTGCTGCCGCGGAGCGCATGGAAGACATGCAGTACGGCACCTAGCTGCAGCTCAGCCTGAGGGGACCACTTTGCTCTGCGTTTTCGCCACTTTGAATTTCCTTTTTAGTGCTACTTTTTCGTAATCAAATTTTTGTTTTCATTTTTTTAAAAAAATCCGGTTTGAAGTGGAGTAGCACCATCTTGGCCTGGCAAAGGTGTAGATGTCTGGAAAACCGACAAACCAACCGATTATTTGACATGCGACTGCAAATTCCTGATTCCAAACGACATGTTGTCAAACAAGCCCCGCACTACTTGCCACAGGTCAGGGTATCTCCGCTACTTGCTACTGCTTCTTACCGAGCCTCCTACTTCGTATACACAGGCTGCGGGCCCTCACAGCAAGGCCGCAGCTGGAACCCGCTCGTATTGCACCCTAAACTGGTACACAACACAACACTACCCAGAGACTGCCTCCCAAGGTCGGCCGATCGAGTCTCACTCGACTCAACCGTTTTCATCAAGCACTCGACACTGCCAAGGATACGCAACTCGCCACACTAAATCATGCTCGGTGCATTGGACCCCGCAAGCCATATTTTGACAACACCGAAGCATCCAGATTGGCAAAGCGGATACAAGCCTTTGCCGGTGAGTGGACACGTGTGGCCTCGCGATCGATGCTCGATTGACTGCAATGGTGTGCAGCGCTCTGAGGAACACATACACACCCGTTTCATCGCAGAGGAGGCGCGTGCGCACGCTATAGACACTGCAACGATCGTTAATGTTCGCCAGCAAAAGGATATGTCAGCTGTGGGATTTGAACCCACGCGTTCGAAAACATTACGACCCTGAACGTAACCCCTTAGGACCACTCGAGCGGAACTTGACGGGCTAATCCGACTTCAAAACACAAAAACAACAAAATTGCTGCTTTTTTAAAACGCACCCAAACGATAAAATACAATAACAGAAGCGCAATGGCGCGACTTCATCCAGTGCGAAACGCCGTCCATCAACACCCGCCCCACCACAAAC